AGGTGGCACAGATTTGGATCACTTTTTAAAATCTGGGCAGACATTTGTCATGCAAGATTGTTGCTGGTAGGAAAGTAGATTCTTTTCCATTGCTTTTGACATGATTGATGTAGGAACGTGCAGCTCTGCTTAATTGTTGCATGATGAGAATGAAACGTCAGTCACTCCAACTGTACAACTAAAGATTACTATCAGATTAAATCTCAGGGATTTTAAACATATGAAATTAAGTAACACGCAAATCAGGTCAGTGATTTTAATGCAGTTTGTGAGAAGATTTCTGAAATTCAGGTCTTCAAATGTTAAATAACTTGTTAAAAATTCATCCTACACCTACCATCGATATCTTTGGTGTAAACCCTACTATATCCAATAACTTCACCGTAATCTTGTGATTTCTTGCTCCCTAAAACATTTTAAGTGCCCGAGTACAGAGCTATACGGAAGAAACTCCTTCCAAAATCTAACCTCAAACCATCCAAGAAAAAAACAAAGCAAAGCAGTAAGAAGAGGAAGCTACAAGAACGTACTGTCCACCAGGAGGGTACCTGGGTACAGTGTATGCGCAGTGAGTGCTTGAAATGGCGCTACCTGAGTGAAGTCACCGATCCTTCTCTGCTACCCGAGTACTGGGTTTGTGAGATGAACACAGGTAGGTTAAAGTTTGCACTCTAAATACTAATCAAGTACTTTTTAACCAAACTCTCCGGGAATTGTGGGAAAACGGCATTAGTTGTAGAAAAATTGGGTTGCCGTTATTATGCAGTTTACTTGTACCTGTTCTTAGTTTTTCTGCACCTTGTATTTGTGGGAACAATTTTTGAATCCTCTTCTAATGATTCTCAGATCCCCATCACAATTCTTGCGAACATCCTGAGGAAGATTACCACTCATTAAAGTTTGTCTTCACCAAGTTTGCCGAGGGATCCATTGTATGGGCCAAGATGCAGGGCTTCCCATGGTGGGTGTACAATATATATTTCTGTATATGGCTTATAGAGTACTTGTACCAACTCATAAAAGAAAACATTTATAAACCCAAGGGCTTCACTTTGCACTCGATCATAATGGTACTGATTTTACTTGGGAATTTATTTTTGGCCCCCAAAGCACAGACCGCAATCGTTAAATTTTGTTAAAAGTAGCTTCCAGTTTCATGGTGCAATTGTTAAATATGAGAACTTTTTTGTAATGCTTCTATTTTCAAATTGAGAGCTTTCCTGTTTTCAAGATCAATGTATGCCACCTAAGAGCTCAAAATAGAAGCTTCATCTAGAGGTAGACAAATCTTGCTTCACTTGTGTTTTTTGTGATCACCACAGGTGGCCAGCAATGATAGAGGAGGATCCAGACACCGGAACTTACATGGAACAAGAGGATGAGAATGCTTACCCTGTGAGTGTCTAAAGAATTAAACTCTTGACACTGCAAATTCTAATCCATGTGGAACTCTCAATTTTGGAAATTTTTTTTCGAGATTACAGTATGCTTTCAAGATGATATAGACCTAGGAACAAATACTTGTGCAGGAACAAACACTTCAAAACTTGAATATCTAGCATTTCTTGTGTGCTTTGAGAATGAATGGTGCTCTCCCTAAATTTGAAAAGGTAGTTAAAACTCAGTTATTTAAGTTGGCTTTCTTTGACTTAGCTTACAAATTTCAAAAGTAAAAGTTTTTAACCTACCTGTGCAATAATATCCTGTTAGAGTGGTTCATTTTATTTTGCGTGGTTTTCCAGCTTAAGGATGCAGATCAACAGTTGCCTTACTGATGACGCCATCTAGCTAGTGTTTGAGAAGTCCAAATTTTAAATTGGTTTTAATGTTGCCTCTTCTTTGCTTCAAGACCCACTACCACGTTGTGTTCTTGGACAGGAATGTCTCCAGGACCTGGTTGAAAAGCACTTTTATCAAGAAGTATAACATTGGAGAGGATGAACAAGTAAGATTTATTCTATCATCACAAAGATGGTTCTAGAAAAGAGCCAATCTGCTTCGAGCAGAAGCACCCTCTCATTGGTTAAAAAAGAGCCACGTTGGTTGGGAGTGATCATTTTGTTAGCAGCGATGCGACTGCAACACTTGCATTTCATAGTTGTTGGTGTGTCAGCGATGCGCAGTTACTACCAAAGGAGCTTCCATTACTGAGAAAATAGCACCCTCTCTTTCTCCTGCTCCAAGCCAACGAGGTCAGTGCCTCATATTCAAGTTTTTTCCCCTTAAGATGTACATGGTATTGTCTCAAATGATGTTGATTGATAAAGATAGCATTTCCATGCATTTTATCTACTTCAGTCAACATGTCCGTCCAGGCGTTTGCTGAAATAACTTCATGTGCCAACGAATGAATTCTTTGAATTTGGTTGTTAGGTGTGGATGACGGTTTACTTTTTCTATGGGCAACTGTTTATAATCCTAAACATGTTTTTTTAGCATATACCTCAGCCTTCGTTTTCACTTCTGAAAGTGATTTACAGTTGTTAAGAGAGGTTTTGCTTGAAAAACTGGTGTTAGTTGAGACTAAAAACTACAAAGGGCCCTCAGTTTTGGTTTTATTAGCTTCACAAATGTCAGTGGATTCCTTTTACGGACATACTTCCTCTACTGATGTGTCAGATTTTTTTCACTTTTCAGTAAAATCAAAGTTCATACTGACCTGCCAAGTTAAAATATCTTGTGTCAAAATGATCTTTGCATCGACTATAACTGTAACAGACATATGCAAAGGGAAGAGACTACAAGCATCAGGTTAGCCAAGCTGTTGCCAGAGCAAACATGGCTCTTTCCATGAATATACAGGTTTGTGTGAGAGTTAAATTTTTTTTCACTGTCAGTATACTCATTTTGTTTTAAATGCGGTAAAATTGAGTTCTTTAATTATGATGTTTATACTTAGTTAAGACAAGAAACTTTAAAACCAAAAGAAGAACTTGATTCCCTAAGAAGAAGAGCTGTTTTGTGTGCCTGCATCATCAAATTTCTGAAGACACTCAGACAAAATTAATAAAATAGTGACAACCTAGGCAACGTCTGTCAACAAGCTATAATCTCAAACAGTCTGTAGAGGTGTTTTATACATGTATTGCTGTGAGTTATTTGAGTGCTACTGTCTCCCATGTCATTATCAGTATTTATACATCTTGTCTGTGGTTCATGTTACTTGATACTTAGAAATCTTACTGCGGCTATCTATAAGTTACCATGGTTCTACTTAATTGGGAATTTTAATTGTAGAATGCCTTTTACAATTTGGTTTTCAAAAGGTGCAATTTCTAATCTTGCAGGAGCGAATATGCACATTTGGTTTCAGTCACAACTTTAAAGGCAAAATTGTGGATAACTCACAAGAGTTTGCACAAGGTGGGTACTAACATTCACAAAACTAATTTGCTAAAATCCCAAGTAAAACTATTTCTTGTAATTTTCAAGTGATTCAACTTTATTTGGAAAAGCCTTGAATTGTGAAATTACAACAAAACCTTCAATAACTATTTTTCAATCTTGGGACAGAGGAAACTATAGATTGTGACGCTGACCAAATCGAGTCAGACGAGGATGGTGATGCCGAGTTGAGTCTTGAGATGCTAGGCCTGGATGTAGATGACATACTGGAGGAGGCAGAGGCTTTACTGAGTGAGGCAGGAGAAACAATACAGTCTCTACAGGAGACTTCTCTCAATGAAGGTAAGAAACCTCCTGGAAAACATGTAATATCCAAAGAACTATCTGTAAGATTTTTTTTTTACTCAAGCGACGAGGAGACCCCATTTATCATACATTTTCAATAGCCTGCTTTATTTTTCCACCATTTAAGTATCGAATGCAGTTAGCCTGTTATGATACATGAGTTCTAAATGGTAATTCCACTGTTTTCATACATGTTATTTCATCCTCTTTAGAGGCTAAAAAGGAAACTAAAAAGAGAAGGAAATCAAAGAAGGCTGTAGACGTAGAGGAATGTACAGGCCAAATAGAAATGGAAGAAAAGACTAAAAGGCAACGTAAAGATGTATCTCCAAAAGATGCTGATGGCAACAAAAAGGAGAGAGAGAAAAAGAAAAGGAAATCACGTCACCATCACTCAAGGAAAGAAGCCACAGTTGTTGATGACAGCACAACTTACGAACCTCAGGAACTGACACAACCCAAGATCAACAGCAACAAGATGAAAAGAGAAGATGGTTCAACAAAGAGGGCTGAGAGGCCTCGGTCCAAGAAAAGCTGTTTTCTCAAAGACACAGCAAAAGATAGTCAAGGGGAAGACAAATTTAAAGTAAATCAGTCTCACATAATTGATACAGATGCCAATCCAAACGAAAAGAAAGGCCAAAAACCAAGGGTAAAGAAATCAGCTGTTGAAGTAATATCCAAAACTCAAAGACTGATGGCTCCAGCTGTGATCTTGCCAAAGGCAGGAGAGTTGACTGAGAGAAGCTCCCCAGAAGACCCATCTGAAGAACTACAAGAATTTGGTAAAAGTGATCCAAATGCCGAACCAAAAGAAAAGAAAGTCAAAAGACCAAGGATGAAGAAGCCTGCTAACAATCTTGACCCCAAAGCTAAGAAAGTAAGAGCAAAAAAGCAAGGTGCCACACAGCTGAACTCAGAAAACTTCGACGAGACTGATAACCCAAAAGAAGGATCAAAGACAGTTCAAGAAGATGGGAAAAGTGATAACAGCTCCAAACCAAAAATCAAGAAATCAAGAGCCAAAAAGCCATCTGCCGACAAGCCCAGGACAGAAGATCTTCAGATGGTTACTCCAGCAAAGAACACAGCAAAGTTTGCCAACAAGACTAAATCTCAAAAAAATCAAGAAGCAAAGGCCAAAATAAATTCACATGAGGGTTGCCCAGAGATGAAGTTGGCATTCGAACCACCATCCAGAAATACAAGAGAAAAGAAACCAAAGAGGGCATCATTTGCAGTTCCCCTTATAAAGAAAGATAATATGCCATCTGATAAGATTCAACGGGAAGCAACTACTGAAGATGAACAGACTGATATCCTCAAAATCCAAACCAATGATTCTGTGATCACCATGGAAGTTGATGAGGATATTGAGAGAGGTCTTCATTCTCATCCAAAGCAGCATGAGCTTGTTACATCTCAGCTCACCAGTAACAGGAGTGGCACTGGAGGTGATGATATGACCAGACAAAAGGTGAAGAAATTTAGCATCAAGACCAAAAGCGATCTATCCTCTCCCAATTCATCTACCCCCTCATCGGGAAAGCCTGCGACGGATGCAAACCGAGGATCTAAGCCCAGTCCAAGTCTAAATTGGGATGCCGTCCACGTTTCTTCAAGTCAAAAGACAAGAAACAAGAAGCCTTGCAAGAGTCCATCCAGGAATGGTGCCTCCCAAAAATTCAGCATCAAACATAAGACCCCAATCTTGAAGGATCCTTCAGCTGGGCCCTCTCATTCGACATCGGGGCAACTAAGGAGCAAGACAAGTCCAGAAATCAATGACAATTCGGCTGCTGGAATTGAAGCACCAAGTGTAAATGTGCCCATGGGAAAAATGAAAAAATGTGCTCCCAAGAAGTTCAGCGTCAAGCGCAAACCACAACCAGCAGCTCAAGAGGCAACCCGCTTAGAGCTGGGGATTGATGACAAGGACAGCATTTTTCTTTCTCCTCCAAAGAAGATGAAAGCTGAGCGATATAAGATACCGGTTGAGGACAAAGAAGAGTTCCACCTTGGTCTGAATGAGGATCTCATTGTAGACGATGCTGCTTTGGTGAAGGAGAAGCAAGGAGATGGGAAGGATGATGGGGAGGATAGTGATGACTTCAGCATGGAAGATCTAGAGGACTGGCCTGAGAATTCTGAGATGGTTGATGAAGGAAAGCAAGGAGATCCTAACAAACTCAATGGTCTGACTACAATTGCAGATGCTAACTCACAGCCTGTTGAAGTAGTTGAGGAATAGACACATATATCCTCCTATGGGCATCATAGCCTTTTTATTATTTGAGTACCTTCTTGTTACCAAAGGTTGATTTGTTCATTTATTATGTTCTGGTTTTCCTTCAGTTGTCGTGCAGATGTTAACTTTAATGAGATGGATCACCAACTAAGTCCTTTTGCAGTGAGAAAGCAGTTAATTCACAATGGCTGATTCTTTCTTATCAAGTAGATTTGTGAGGGACTGGCCGGGGCCCTTAAATAAGATAATCGAGTGTAAGAGGCAAAAGAACGAAGTACTAAATATGAATAATCAGTTGCCCATGTAAAGATGTTTCTCTTTGAAGGACACTGCTACCACTTAAGTAATATGCCAGATGACCTGCCTTTGGTCAGTCTGTGAGTGATGTTCTGAGCTATCGACTCCAGATACAGCATCAAATTTACCGATAAATGTAGAACTGTGTGTAAAAAATCATTCACAAGAATTTGGAAGATGATGTTAAAACCAAATGAAACATCCCAAGTTTATTTTACACAAAATGAGTGTTGTTCAAGAGTTACCTTGTTGCTGTTAGCTGTTCCATTTGGAATTGTATGAGCTTTTGGAAGTTGGTTGGTGCGATCATTGTCTGTCTTAAGTATATAGCACTCGATACTGAGCGCTTAATTTATTGAGTTGCAGTGGAAAGAGATACACCACTAGGTAGAAGGAATTACAGAATTTTATTTGACGGTGCTGCTGGAAAGTGCAGATTTTAACTGTACATTGAAACTCACCTGCTGTATGACAATATTTTATTGTTGAAATAAAATCGTTTGAGGAAACAAAACGCGTCATATTGTTTGTAATCTGCATATTAAATACTTTAAACAATTCGCACTCTTCAGTAAATCATTCGTAAATCAGAAATTTGCATGTTAATAGCTCTGGTTGTGCCTGAAAGGTCGCAAAACCACTCTGCACGAAACATGTATGCAAGCTGCCGAGATAGTAATATAGCGCCCTCTATCAAGAATTTGTCGTGCGGGGTATTCGAAACTGCGGGAAAAACCTAGTCTGTCTGTTGCCAATTACAGCTGCCTTCCTCTTCTGCACGGTTCAAAAAACGACATCCTTGTAGCCTCAACCCGCATGATTACCCTCTACCTGCATGATTACATTTTCCTGGCAACTCGATCTATATTTGAAAATTAACCTTATGGGGATTATCAGTAGACAGAAATAGCTTCCAAAGGCCCGCCTCTGTCAAACTCACACGGTTGACATAGTTACAAGAAGTGGGTCAGATGTTTCGTTACAGCCACGAACAGCGGAATGAGAGAGCCACGGGGGACTAATTTCAAAATGACAAATCATCCTCGTCCTACTCTTATTCATTTACAACATCCTCTGACTGCCTCTAGTCCTCTCAAGAAAACGAAGACTTCTGTTACAGGCGATGCCTTTCCCTTGACCGAACTGGAAGGCTTCACAGAAATTTCCTGCAATCATGCTCTGTGTTGCAACCTACACGGTTTTAAACAATTACGCCTATTTAGGGATATTCAGTGTATTTATTGTAAATGTTGGTCCGTGAAGCAAACTTATCTGTGTGTGTTTGTCTTCACACCACATTTCGACATTCCCATTCGCGAAGGGAAAGAAAACTGCAATAAGACATCCATCGAATCACAATCCGTTGTTCGATCACGAGCAATAGACTGGCTTATTTGTCATCTTCTGATGAGGCCTGATCATGTTCATCGCATTTCCTCGATCTGCCCTTGAAACTAGCGTGTCCCGTCCCATTGACGCGTGGTTCCGGATTGCCACCAGCAACCACTTTTTGTGTTTGTTTTTTTATGGATGCCGGCTGACTGTGTGCGCGTGACAACAGCATTGAGCAAGAAAGTTGGAAATCCGATATGTCTGATGTCACTTCCTATACGGAAAGGAATCATCCTCTGACCACAGTTTTGACTGGTACAGTGAAAGAAGTCATTTGTTTCAGAGGTACGCATACTTAAAACAGGATTGTTTACAAGAAGTTCAGTGTGTTCAAAGTATACCGTTGGAGCCGCACACCCTCCAAAATATCTTGCCACGTTTACAACTAGTCTTGTACTTCATCACCGCTTGATGTCGTTTTCACGTTAATATGATCTGGTGGGAAAAGGCCTTGAAAAATAACAGTCTGTAATTCACGACTTCCCACATCCGCTTTTCTTTTCCTTGTTTCGCGGTTAATTAACAATACGTCATCAATTCAGCTGATTTAGGGGAAATTCCTACTAAATAGAAAACTGGAAATTCGGATGTTTAACCTACTCTAATCCCTCTTGCGACTCATCACTTTCCTCTCGGCCATGCTCTACGGAACAGGAAAGTCCTCGCCTGCACTATTACCCTAGATGGACTCAATCAACCACTCACCCGGACCAAACGACGTGGTACGGCATGGTTCGGAGTTCCGGCTCAGTAAAACCGGAGCGTTCCACCTTTCACCCTTTGAGATACTTTACCAAGAAAGGATTTGCCGAAACATCTTTATGTGAACGAGTAAAGAGAAAAGTTGCAATGTTTTGAGTCGATGTATTGGAATTATTAGAATTCCATGAAAATGTTTCGTTCCCATGGGATCTACGGCAAAGTGCCGTTGAGATTAGCTGTATCTCTTCCACGTTCCCTCATAACTCTTTCTGTATTTGCCACATTACCAATGTTAATCTAGCAAATAGCAAAGATAATCACTCCAAGTAGCAACCGTCCAGTACACAATCCACACGCTGGACGGGGCAAGTTGAGGGCACACCCTCTTCTTACAAACTCTCCCATCCTGTCCCCAGAAACATCCCTCGCAAATTGGGACCTGGTTACGCTGCCATTTTTAAATAATCACCTTTATCCTCAGCTTACCAGTACCACAGACTTTACTTTGCAAAGAATGTGGCGATTGATTCCCAACGATGTTATGTCTGGAGTTTCTAATACCGTGTTCGGTCGTGTGGACCCGAAACCAACAAGTTATTACCGGGAGGAACAAGACAGCAACAACGTGGTTGATAGATTACACACTCCTCTCTCGTGTCCGCGACAGCGGGATCTACGTGCAGGCGGAATCCTGCACGAGCAAAGGTCAACGGAAACTCACCCTAAGGGAATACAAGGTCAGAGGTCAAATACATTATGAGGTTGATGTGACGTTAGTCAGGTCTAGTGCCATTAAGTTACCTTAAATAGCACTAAAACTAATGTTGATATTGTGCATGCTTTTCCTAAGGATCGTCAGTACACATACCACAATACAGTAACAATTCTCTATCATTGCCACTTCATTGATCTACACCCGGATATTATTTATAATCTGGGTTTGTTTCATTCGTGATTTTCCCAGTTCTTATTGCATTCTTAAAATTATGTTGCATATTTGAGTGAATTCGGTTCTTTATAGAAAAATAAACTGGCTTTTTATTTTATTGTTTGCCATAGCACTGGTCTTATTTATGGACTCGTGCACTGTACCATATGGGGATTTATACTGCATTTAATGGCGTGTCAAATAAAAACCCAATGAAAAGCGGGATTTAAAACGGAAATCGATATTATCTTTGAATCAATGCCCCATATGCCATCAAAACAGGCTCTTTTGATATCTCTTACCTAGCGATTTCGGTGAAATTTTATCGCAGCCGTAAACGCAGAGCTGGAGATGCACCGTACTTTCGGCGCTAAACTTTTGACCTATCGCTGAATGAAATCCAAAGCCACAGTCACGCCTCCTTTTGGTGATGATTGGATGTACGTTAAATCATCCGCGCCTACTTCCGTCATTAGACCAATCGTGATTCAGGTTTATATCGATAGGCACTAGCCAGGAACCAATAGAGATTGAGATGCATAATGCATGACAGGTGCATGTATTGCCGGTACGATGCGCACACATAACACACCGCTACGCGTTCACACACACATCGCGCACCACGCACACACTTGTCGAGTATCATTTTGTCATTGAACTCAAGAGAGGAAAGACCTATGATCATTCGCTTCTTTCCTCAGCTGGAGCTTGAATTAACACGAAACTCGTCAAAAAGTTGGAATACTCCTTGGAAATCCCAGGTGTATGTGGTTACAGCAGTAGTTCATGTCTTCTACTGCTGCGCAAAGATTTTGAATATTTCTCGGATTGCTAGAAAATAGAAATTTTGACGGTACTTTAGCGGAGAGAAGTTGGGAGTATCATCAGCCGACGTTCCAGTCATCGTCATCGCGCACCCAGCAGGAATATCGTTCTTATATATCAGTACAAATATCTTAATCCTCTTTTGAGCTTTCGTACAAGATTTAACCACTTTGTGGAATCAACCAATTTAGCCAGCAGTCGTTCGTGAATACTAAACAGGTTCGTGACAAGACAGCAAAGTTTGACCATCATCTGACTTGTTCGAATTGGGTCGTTGGCAAACCGGTGAAAAGGTAACTGGATTGCTCTTGAGCCATGGCGAGGAGTTCCGTCTTCTACCTGTACCTCGCCGTAGCGGTGGTGGGATTTCTAGGGGAACTAAAGCTCGTGGGGACCCAGTACATACAACCACAGGGTGGAATGAATTATATGGACCAGCAAGGTTACCAACAACAGGGCTATCAGCAGCAGCAGTCCCCAGGTAGACCCTCAACAGGAGCCTTGGAATCTATCCCAGTAAGGACATCGGGGATTCCGATGGCGTCGTCGGGCAATGAACTGGGAGCTGGAATGTAAGTCCTCGTGTCCCTTTTCAGATACCCTTTTTTCTGAGAATGATAAGAAAAGAATCCCAGCCAGATATGCCCAAGTCATAATACCATGACTGTCTACCTCACCAAATGACTTTCGGACTTTATAAAATGCCCAAAAAAGTTGACGCAACTTCGATCATCGTTCGTCCTTGCTGTATATCATGTCTATGGTCAGAATTTATTGCATTATAAAAGTAAACTAGGAAGCTTTGTATTGAGTATTTTGACATGTTTGAATTTGTTCGGTAAATATTTGCATACAGCTCAAGGTACTTATCGCCATGTCTTTTTGCTAATCTCGTGTCTGGGGACGTTAATCTGAAAAAAAAAAATCGTAAAACCAATTATTGTCGTTCCATTTTGAGGGTCCCCCTCTGTTGTGAGTCCGTGTTTCTTTCTGCATACACAAAGTATGCAAGGTTGCGACGTGCTACCTTGCGTAACAAAATGACATTTGGAATTAACCGCCCCTTACACCAGCGTACACTCCCAGTCCCGTGTGTCGCAGTGCATGCCTTGTTTGGAGGCAGTGGTCAGGTGTTTTTCTTAGCTCTTCTTCATTGCGCCTTTTGTGAAGAGGTTCCTTTGTACAGTGTGTTTAGGGCTTACCCGTAAGCCGAAGTGGCATTGAAAAATGTACTTTGATTGTGCTTTGTCACGCGAGGTGCATAGCGTCGGCTGAACTGCCTCGAATGCTTGGTTCACCCCTGACAAAGCCTGTTGATCAACCGGTGTTAACCTCTCTGCAATTTTCAATGGTCATGCAATTCTGGTGTTGCGTCCCGAGACGCAGTTACAAAAATTCGAGCTGTTGTACCCCTAAATGCACCTTACTAAAAGTGCAAGATTTTTCATGTGGTTTCTATTTATTGTAAGCTATTAGTATTAGTCAACTTTGAGGATCATTGAAATCAAAGGAAAAATTTTTTTTCCATTTTTTTGTGCTGTCTTTGGCAAGCTTTTTTCAAACCCTAATCTTTTTTGTGCCTGTCTTAACTTTACACGTAAATGTCTGAAATTGTTTGAATACACCATGTGATAATAAAACCCTCATATTTAACTTTTTTCCAGAAAACTGAGAAATATACACCTCAAAGATGGAAATATCTAATGATAAAAAGGTAGAATTGACAGTGAGCTGATGTAATTTCTGCATTTCAATTTCTTTTCAGGCCACACGTTTGTCCTTACCAGGAGCCATCCATGATTGGCCACCGAAGGCCGTGCGTGAAAGCCTACACAAGAATGGTCAAAGTATGGAGGCCTAACTGTGGCTATTCAGGGCAGTGGTGCGTTGGCTACGAGCGCAGGTAATAATACACAGAACTCACAATTCAGTGAGTTCTGGAACGAAAGTTGGTAAACCAGTCTTAGGGAAGAGTTCCGTTTATAGTCATGCAGTGGTATACACCGTATTATCCGCCGTCAGAAAGGGATAATTTATTTTTAAGAGTCATATGTAAGACTAGGATGGAAAAGGTCGAAGCTTTTACTTCGAAAATACAGGGCAATTTTCAGACCAGTCTCCTCGGGTTTGTTGACAGAGTGTCAGATAATGTTTGTGTAACTGTAAGGAACTCTTGCCCAGTCTTGCATGCATAAACGACAGATCTTGGATGATGAATAATTCATGAGTAAGAAGAAAGTTTGTATGAAATGACGTGGAAATTATAAGCAGTTCCATTAACTTTTATTTCTATTTTCATTTTTGAAATACTTGTGTTTTGCTGATGTGGAGGTTAACAGCACGGCCAATTCCACTTATGTTTGGAATTTGCCTTAAAGCGCTCAGGCATATTAAACTATGACTTATAGAATGACAGCTTCACAGACAGACAGACAGAAGAAATGCCTATCTTTGGACTTAAACCAAGGAACTACAATGTATCAAGAATCCTGACCCACCCCCAGGACTCCGCCCACTCCCAAATGCAAGTGTCGCCCAACCACTCCGCTCAAAATGTAGGTCACTGGTATAGCGACAGTGACTGATCATGAAATCCAGCCCACCGGAATCGGCCATAATTGATGTAATTTATGGTTAGTTTCAAGTCTGACACAAAATTCAACTCCCTTTGCGATTTCCTGCAGAGCGCACCATTGTTGCCACCGCGGTCCCGACACAAAGGAGTAATTTTTTATTTTTTCTTCCGAGGTTGCCCACAGTGTGCATGACACTGGGGAATTGGTTGTACAGTTTGTGACATGCTGTGTGTTGTAGTAACCTTTTCACCAGACAAGTTTCGAAAAAGGCTGTTGGCCAGCTGTTCGGACCATTTTTCACCCTGTCAAGAAAAACTAAAAACTTATGACAGAAAAGGAAGTAACCTCAAAGAGTACATTCCTGTAATCTTTTCTTCTGTCACACAGCTGAATCCAACGTTAGATTTAGAAAAAATATGTTGCGTTTAACTTCAGTACAATGTATTGAACAGTGTCAAGCTTTATTGATATTAAAATCTCTTCTGAAGATTTCAGTGATGATTTGAACAAGCTGATGGGCTTGAAGAGCACCTCTAAAGAAAACATGTTTTCTCTTACTTCATCTGTTCAAATAAATATGGAAGCGTCCAAACTGAATGCCGTGTCATTTATCTTCAGAGCTCAACTATAACAAGCTTAAAAGGGCATTTTTCTGTTCATGCCAAGATGCGAATTCTGAATGCAGATTTTATCATTGGGAGAAAACAGAGAAAAAGGGGAACCTACATCCTGTGTTTGTAGTGGATAATTCCCTCGTGCATGCCAAACAGTTGCCAAGGGCTCGCAAGAATTCGCATCTTGGCATGAAGAGAAAAAAAGCCCTTTTAAGCTTGTTATAGTTGAGCTCTGAAGACAAATGACTCGGCATTTGATTTGGATGCTTCCACATATATTTGAATAGAAAAAATCTGAAGAAAACATGTTTTCCTAAGAGCTGCTCCTTAAATCGCATAAGTAATGACATTTTTGTTGAATAAGTGGATTGATTGGTTGAAACTTAAAAGACTTTACCACGAAATGGAAGGGCGGTTCTTCTAAAATTACAACTGACAATATTTTGCTTCAGTACTTCATGGTATGTTCTATTTAACAGGACTGCATATTACACGTCATACCGGATCGTCTACGAAAATTCATACGTCACCCGCTACAAGTGCTGTCACGGTTGGTCACGATTCAACGGTGAAGCCGGCTGCATGTATCGTAAGTCACATTTCTTCAAATTCTTGCTTGAGTTAGTTCTTTGGTTGAGATACATGATACTGATAAAGGCAGATCCCCAGTGTAAACATGAACAGGAAATGCGTAGTTAAAGACATATTCGTCTACAAGTGAAGCATTCTGTCTATACATGTACATGCATTTCTTTTTTTTTAATTCAAGTTAGTGAAACTGATGCATGCAGGCCCACCATAACTGCCGGCCTGTGATTCATGCAATAGGTGACCTTTCAGGTTCTGTGGTTGAGACTCCCAATGGCTAATTTGCCAAGGAAAGCATTCACTCTGCTTGTCCAACTGTTTCTAAGTGCTAGATGAAAGTTGAAAGGGTAGATATGACGAAGCAGATGTATAGGCCTACATAAGTGAAACTCACAGATATAACCACAAGTTTCCAATTCCATCATGTGGGAGAGGGGCATAACCTTGACACCAAGTGACCACAAATTACTTCCTCCTTAACTCTCCACACCAGTTAGCAGAATATTTTTCAACATAAGAAGAATACAGACATCGCCCACCACCTCTCACAACCCTTGCCCCATCTAAAGAGTGCCAGTGTGAAAAGTGGCAAAGGATTAGAACTGGATCAGACATAAGCTGGACTGTTGACTCCAGCTTAAAGAAGTCTGTCTCGGTTCACCTTGACTTGTCAGTAGGCAGCAAAGGCCAACTTGAGAATTCACTGAGGCATCATGCCATTTTGACATGTGTAATGATAATTTTTTTTGGGGGGGGGTAAGGCTACAGGGAAATTTTGTGCTCCTCAGGGAAGAAGTGTTAAAACTTCCCAAGCACTTCGCAGGAAAGTCCCAGCAAAGTTTGACTTCAAATGAAAGAATTTGAAAGACATGTATCCCTAACAGTCCCATATCCTCCCATTTTCAATATGATTTTAAATACACCCTAGGGGGTTGGGCTTAAAATGCGCCATGTGTTAAAACAGTTGTCTGGAAATGCACGCTCTCTTGTTTGACTCATAATTAACGGATGGGGATATCCCCAAGTTGTTTTGTAAATTCTAGGGAAATTCTGCAATGCACTTGTCACAAAAAACTTCCTGAAAACCAAAAAGGCTTCCTTGAAAGGTATTTCAATTTTTGCTTTCATTTCAAGAGCAAGAATTCCCATTCCAAATAAATAAAGTATGTTTACAAGCGGCATTTATCAGAACAGTTTTGTTTATAGAAAATGTGTTGGTTGCTAAGTGCAAGTCTAGACTACTTTATTTGTTTTCACATGTTCTTTTGTGGAATGTAGGGAAAAATCGTTACAGTGTATGCTTGTACATGCAGACGGTCCCTCTGCTCTGCATGTAGCCTCAAAAATGTTACAAACAGGAACTTGTCCGAGACACATATTTGATGACATTGTTGGGTTGGCATACATGCACAATGCACTTGCTTTCCAACTCTGTGACCCAAAGTTGGAATCCCAGTGTGGATTTGGTTTTCAGTCCCTACCAGGGTTTTCTCTTGAATAAGTGTCCGAGGGTTTCCTCCCATCAGTAAAATTGATCATTTCTTTGTTGTCAACTTATAATCATCCAATAATTGGCACTCCGCTGTTGAATAAACATGAAATAAAGAAAAGTCAAAAGAAAAATATCGAATATCTGGGAAATACCCTCAATTTCTGACAAATAACAAGTGCACAGTGTACATGTATGTTTAAGGGTCATTAAATTTTAGACAAATTCCAGGTTGTGGTGTTGACCCCTGTTCACTGTGTCTTTGGCGAAAATACAAAATAGCCTGTGGGTCTTCCTGCTTAATGGCCGGAGATAATACTGTTCAGTTTCTGACCATTACAAATATATTTTTTTGATGGGCATTGAAATTGTTTGGAATTTTTGTATTTGTTGGGGGATGATACACAGGTACCCCCTGTGGTGCGGTGGTGAATTCCAGGGAGTGTCATTTGATAGACGCGAAGTTTTCCTCCATGAACAGGTTATTGTCTTTGCTTCGTCTTTCTGAGAAGAAAGGGCAACCACCTTAAAATTGTTCCTCAAAAGATTAACCACATGCAGAGATAAATTCATTATCATGGCTTGGATTGGGATGAATATGTTTAGCAGTTACTTTGCACTTCCTGCTTGTGGTCAAACTCATATGAATATGAACATGTACACTCCAAAAAACTTGTCCACACTGTAGATTTTACGAATGAAAATGTTTTCTGCCAGGGGTTGCTTTAAATAACTTGTCTCGGCTGCAGTGCCAGAGTTCCATGCAAGTTGGAACCCAGTAATGCACAGGCACGCATTTGCACTGTCAGTGCACCCAGCCATCTTTTTGATGTCTTGCCATGAATTTGAGTGTTTTGAGGCTATAATGGCTTCTGCTTTTGGCCCTCAGTGCACCACAGGAATAAGCCATAGCCATTTGATAATGTTGGCCAATTGTTGGCACAGTATACTATGAAAGGCCTTGAACTTGAGTCAGACTTCTTTGATGAATCCTCAGGTTTGTATTGCATGTAGGCTAGTAGGCCCTACTTTGATTTTTCAGCCTAGGTTTTGTTGTTATTTAGATGCTTGGTTCCTATGATGTTGTAACTAATTGTAATCTTTAACACACTGACCGTACTGTAGCTTAATTTCAATATTCCATTGTAATCTCTCAGTTTTCCTTTTGGACTTCGGAGAACCCGACTACAGCTATGCATTAGCATAAAGACGTGCGTGCTTTGCTTGGAAACTGTTCGTTACAGTTGTCCTTGTCTAAATCTGTGCCTGTCAGGAATCCATTTTCACTCAAAGACACTCCGAGCCTAAACTGTTTACTGCAACAGTCCTCAACTTGTATGTAATGTAACGTCTGCCAGTCAGGAACCCCATTTCTTCCAAATGATCATCAAATTTGGCTTTGTTGCAAGGGCATGAGTTTCTTTTTGACAGTGATGGGGTGTGTTGGCAGGCATTCAGGAATTTGGGTCGTCAAGTACCTGTCATTGAAATGTCTACGTGACTATTTGAATTTGGTTTGTAAGGCGCGACCTCTCAGGTCCAGCTCACCTGTTTTCAACCTTCCCCTTTCGGTCATAAATCACGACCGAATTGTTATCAACTTTAGTGCCTCCTCAACTCGAGTCCAACAAGTTCAACACATACATGTATACATGTAGGCTCAGAACTTGTTAATCCATAATGGATGCCCTTTTGGTTTGTTAAATGTTTTCTAAACAGATGAGAGGAGCAAGTTCATTCAAAGTCAATTTTGGACAAACTGAAGGCCTGTCTGCTTAGACAATCAACAAACAACTGGGTGAAAAGTTCACCTATTGTCGAGATGCTGTACATGACGCCTAGGCCTACTCTCGTGTCATTCTATAGAATATATTGTATTTGTCAGGGTTCAGATTTGTCTCAGTCTCACAGTCCGGCCGATACAAGTGCTGGTCGCATACACTTTCGCAGGTGATTACCTTACAGGTACATGTATCTTAAGTAATCTAGAACTTTGTAATTTTGCATCGCTCCAGCTGAAAGCTTGCTGATGAATTACGAGCCTTCATCCAAGTTTGTTTAGTCTGTGTACACTTGATCCACTAAGACAGTTATAGTTGCCTAGTCCTGGTGAAATAAAGGGCTCCCTTCAACCTTGTAAAAGCCTTAAAAGTTCCCATGTTGAGGATTCGTCAAAGGATTTGTCAATAAACTTGTCATTTTCATTCTGTGGAAAAAAGCCAATATTTGAGAAGTTTCATCTGTGACTGTGTAGATTATTTCTCCATTTCATTATTGTCATTTTTGTGGGTAGTGAACTAAAAATTGGACTTAAGTAGTTCTTTCTCGGCTGGCATCACAGTGTGGTTGCCAAGGCTAACCAAGCCCAACAGCAAACATTATTTTTATCTTTTTTTAACAACCTTGAGATTCATTGAAGTGTTTGACTACTTCCCCTGGGCTCTTTCCTGCTGAAAAGTTCTGTTGGAACCTGCAAATTGAAGCCTGTTTTATGGGCCCAGTATCCTTTCAATTCCATTTTGCTAATTTTATCCAGTGGCCCTTGCTACCCCAACAGGGAATTTTCTGAGCCATTACATCCCTGCAGTGTCCAGCAAATGCCAGAGACTGTCTTTTTAGCTTTATCAATCTTTGCTGCCAGATATCCTCTCTCCGAGGTGGGTTTGTGTGTTGTTCCTTCATCGAGTCCAACTCGAGTCACAATTTTTGGCGACTTGACTCAACTCGAGTCCCGACGGGTAAATGACTTGACTTGACTCGAGTTTCTGCAACCAAATGACCCGACACGAATCTCTCATGGAGTCTTGACTCGAGTACTAGCTTATAAGACTCCAGTCTCAAAAAAATTTAAAGCAAAATTTTAGTCGGCTAGAATATCAGTCGCCCTAATTTATTTGCAGTATGTCTAAATAAAAGTACAAAAAATGATTTACATGTAAATGTAGTTGTGTTGTTATTGTATTTTGTTTAAAAATGTGTGACTCAAACTGACTCGAGCTCGGCAATTGACTTGACTCAACTCGACTACACAAAGTGACTCAGCTCAACTGGACTTCTTGACCTAATGACTCAACTCGACTTGAATCACCAAATTTAGTGACTCATTACAATACTGGAGACTGCAGGTTCTCCATATATTGTTGGAGGGTTCCAAGAGGTATTTTGTATTTCACCCAACCATTGTTGTATGCATGAGCGCCCTTGTGGTTCCCTTTATTTAAGGTACGCACTTTCTCCTCCCCATACCCTAGAACCAACCGGTCCAGACCCACAGGTTGCCCTGTTTATACCACCTGAGCCGCTCTGTCAATATTGCATTTCAATTACATGTACACGCATGCCTGCGGTACACCCAGGAATGGATTTGATACCCGGGGTAGACTTCTCGTGGGTTTTGGACCAATAGAGCTTTGGGAATGCATGGAAGGGGCACAATTTGCATATTAAGAGCCAGTTCATCAGTAGGCAGCGACTAACAAAGTATACACTAACAACAAGGTTGTGCTTGTCCA